GTATGGCGGGGGATTGAGGAGAGGCCATGATGAGGTTTGTGTGTTGAGGTGGGGTCGCTGGTTTCTGATTTCGATTGATCAATTTCGATTGATCTGACCGTTTAATCGTTATTAGAGATCGTTATCGTTATTATCGTTATCGATCGTAATCGTTATTAGAGACCGAGATCGTTATTAAACGGTCAGATAAATGCAAGGGCTTAGTGGTTCTGTCAAAAGCTGAATACGTGCAAAAAGCTAATACGATCACTGATACCTACGAGTCTGTTGAGAAAAATCCCACCCCAAAGCTCGAAGCGACAACAAAAAGGCTAATCAAAACTACACTTGCAGGTAAGGTGCCCGACAAGGTAGTTAAAAGCATTTTGCCTTCTGGGTCTCGGACCGCCGAACTATACGGGCTCCCGAAGACACACAAACCTGATGCTCCCTTACGCCCCATCGTATCTGCCTGCGGTGATCCGCTGGATAAGCTCACATGGCTACTAGAGAGAATAACCACTCAATTACTAGCGTTCGTGCCAGCACACTTAGAAAATACTCAGGACTATCTGCAGAGACTGAGGTCCCAATTTGATGGCAAGTTCCCAGAGGGCACTATCGTGTTCTCTGTAGACGTAGCGAACTTGTACGGCAACATCCCCACCACTGAGGCCATAGAAGCTACGCTTAAGCTCTTCGACAGACATAAAGATGACGTGGACACATTCGGCCTGACCCGCCAGGACATAGAAGAACTTTTGAGACACTGCCTAAACAACAACTATGTTAGGTTCGGTGATAAATACTTCAAACAGACCATGGGTGTAGCCATGGGTTCAAGAATTGCCCCTCCGTTAGCAATAATATTCATGAACGCCGTAGAGTCACTGCTTTTAACGTCCCCGAACTCTCAGTACCAGCCCGTCGCATACATGCGATACATCGATGACGTGCTAGGAGTATGGACTCACGGTGCAGACAAACTCGATGAATATTTCCGCTTCTTTTCACCCAGCGCTCCAATTCTCCATCGAGAGGACCGACAAAACAGCTGGTGGACAAATACCCTTTCTCGACACCACCATAAGTGTGCGTGACGATGGCACGTACAACACAGAGCTGTATATCAAGCCGATGGCGGCACCGATCATAGTGCACTACAGCTCAGCTCATCCCATGCAGTGTAAGCGATCCGTCCTGTATTCACAGCTTCTACGCGCTAAACGCCTGGGATCTGACAAGGCGGCACAAAAGCGGGGTATGGCTAAGATCGAAACGCTGTTCCGGCATAACGGGTACCCCAACAAACTCATTCAGAGAACTAAACATCGGGTTCTATTTAGTAGCGAGCAAAACGGCAGAAACAGAGCAAAAAACAGAACAAAAAACGAACCTACATATATCACACTCCCATACATCGACGAAACCCTAGCACGACGGGTGGATGGAGTCTTCAGGGGCTCGGGTTTGAATGCGCGGGTCGCTTGGACCAGTGGGAAAACACTAGCGCAACACCTCACCAGGTCAGCCATGCAAAGTCCTCCCTGCCCGGCAGGTACAAGGAAATGTCACACTTGTGAGGCGGGGCTGCCTGGTCGCTGCCACACCAAAAACGTTGTGTACAAAATCGTGTGTAACATGTGCCAAGACAAAACTAGTATTTACATAGGAGAAACAAAAAGACGCATCCGGGAGCGGTTTCACGAGCATTTGAGGGACGCAAAAAACCAAACCAAGGACACTCCACTCGGAGATCATGTAGCTAGGACACACCCAACCAGCATAGTAGGGCCCGAGTCGTTTAGCGTGTCGATCGAAAAAGTTTGCAAAGATGTACCAAACCTCAAAATAGCCGAGTCAATCGAAATCAGAAACCAGCGACCCCACCTCAACACACAAACCTCATCATGGCCTCTCCTCAATCCCCCGCCATACACACCCCCAGTGGCTCCGGTAGCTCCAGCGTAACATACCTATTGTATAGCATTGTCATGTCATGAGTATGTATGAGAACAATGGACAACTATATATTATGTGTATTATGTATATTGTATATACATATTATGTATGTATCTATTGAGTATGTATGAGAACAATGGACAACTATATATTATGTGTATTATGTATATTGTATATACATATTATGTATGTATCTATTATGTATATTGTATATTGTATGCGCATATGTATGTATCCATCTATTATGTAAAGTATGTATCCATCTATCTATGTATCCATCTATTATGTAAAGTATGTATATTGTAAACGCATATGTATTTTTTGGCATTATGTTCATTGTGTATATTTGAAAGCATTATCATGTATAATGTGCAAATGTTGACACGCACCTGAATGATTGTACCTATACGTACTGATCGACCTTATCCAACGAGAACCATATCACAAGATGCACGTTTTGTATTCCGTTTGAATCAGCTTTGTTTCGCTGCTTAATTGCTATTCTTATTCTGATGACGGTGCAATATCGAAATATATCAATTTAGTTTCAATTATATCAATTTGCAACATATAACATGAGCAAAAGGTTATTCACTCTATTTACATTATTCAGAAAACACCCTTTAGCACAAAACATGACAAAAACGCGTAGAGCCTCAAAGAACTAAGCAGTAAGCACAGTACATGTTACCAAAGAAAAGTGACTGAGAACAGGAGGCCGACCTGAGATGCGTCCGCCTCCGAAGGGCTGCTGACCCACGATGGACCCGGTGGACTTGTCGTTGACGTAGAAGTTGCCGCACGTCATCTTCAGCTTCTCCAGCGCGAACTCAGCGAAAGCCCTGCAGTACACAGATGGTTTTAAATGAGAAGGCATTGACTTCTGGCATTCTTGAGTATATTTAATAATTAAATAGGACTGGCATTCGAGATTATGGAAACAAAAGTTAGCTCTTTCTGCTGTGAAAGGTGCACCATACAAGGCAAACTGGCTGAAAGCCGGTATAGGTATCGTTTTGCTGAACCTTAACCCTCGCCCGTAAACGGCGATCTGCCACCTTCGCCCATGCAGGGGGGGGGGGGTTGGTGCGACCCCCCCCCTGGCGTTTGAAAACGGAGCGTCGTAGAGCTTAGCGGAAAAGACCAACGGATTGCTCTCGCCGAGATCTCGCGATTAGTGGTATATTTTTTGGTCCTAGGTCAACATTTGACCTACTTTTGACCGGTCAAAGGGCAAATTTTCGGAAAAATAGACTTTTTTCAACTTTCCGCGGCGATTGCGGCAAAACGGTGGGAGATATCGACTTGAAACCTTCACTATCGTGTTCCTTGGATCAATTCTCTATCGTTTGGTATGTATTTCGTTTCCCTAGCTCTAAAAATGGCGCGTTGGGAGCGCCGGAAGTCGGCAAGGTCACAGTCGGCGGCAGAAATTCGAAAAATCAAAATTTAAATTTTTGAAATCTGATTGTATTTTTGGATTTGGGAGGTCCATTTGCTCCCTATAGAAGCTAATATTGCTGCATATTCCCATTGAGGTGACAAGAATTAGCAAAATAGTGGTTCGGGCGCTTTTCAAAAATAGTACCGGACGCTGTTCCTCTTGTGACGTCATAGCTCCGTGACCTGACCTGACCTGGTCAAGTTTCTTATACCATATGATAGCCAATACTCGCCCCAACATGCATGGGAAGTTTCATCACGATCCATCAACCGATGTCCGTACCACCGGCAGGAAACCTCGGGCGTTGGCACTCAGTTTGTGAAAATCCGGCCGGAGGCTGTTCCCTTTGTGACGTCATAACTCCGTGACCTGACATGACCCGGTCAAATTTTTTTTATCAAAAGATGCGCAAGGTTTGCCCCATAAGGTACCCAAAATTTGGCGGCGCTGCGCGCCGCCGTTTTTGCACTGTTTCCGAAAAACCTTAGGGGGGGGGGTTGCACCAACCCCCCCCCTACATGGGCGAGGGTTAACCGAACCTAGACCGTAACTGAACTGTAACCGTGCCCAAGACGGTGACCTAAGACAGCACCCGACACCATACAAAGTCGCCTAAGTAAATCACTAGTCCTAGATGTGTACGGCTCCCGTTAGGCCTAGTATCTCCGTATTTCACTGGTCCTGGCTGTAGACTGCTCCAGTGAGGTCCAATATGACACCCTATCTCGGTAACTCACTGGTCCTGGCTGTAGACGGCTCCAGTGAGGTCCAATATGACAGCCTATCTCGGTAACTCACTGGTCCTGGCTGCAGATGGCTCCGGTGAGGTCCAATATGACACACTATCTCGGTAACTCACTGGTCCTGGCTGTAAACTGCTCCACTGAGGTCCAATATGACCTCAGTGGTCATATGACACCCTATCTCGGTAGCTCACTGGTCCTGGCTGTAGACGGCTCCACTGAGGTCCGGTAAAACACACTATCTCGGTAACTCACTGGTCCTGGCTGTAGACTGCTCCAGTGAGGTCCAATATGACACCCTATCTCGGCAACTCACTGGTCCTGGCTGTAGACGGCTCCAGTGAGGTCAAATATGACACCCTATCTCGGCAACTCACTGGTCCTGGCTGTAGACGGCTCCAGTGAGGTCAAATATGACGCCCTATCTCGGTAACTCACTGGTCCTGGCTGTAGAGTCGGCTCCAGTGAGGTCGATATGACACACTATCTCGGTAACTTACTGGTCTTGGCTACAGACGGCTCCAGTGAGGTCCAATATGACACACTATCTCGGTAACTCACTGGTCCTGGCTGTAGACGGCTCCACTGAGGTCCAATATGACACCCTATCTCGGTAACTCACTGGTCCTGGCTGTAGACTGCTCCAGTGAGGTCCAATATGACACCCATCTCGGTAACTCACTGGTCTTGGCTGTAGATGGCTCCGGTGAGGCCGTACGGACAGCGGCCGATCAGGTCCAGTGTGGCCGCCTCCTGACCGTCCTCGTACACGTAGACGCTCAGCACCGGGCCGAAGATCTCCTCCTGCATGATCTTGTCGGACGGGTTCTTACAGACCACGATCGTGGGCTCGATGAAGTAACCAGTGCTGGAGACAGAGACATTCGTGTGTTAACGATATGGGTGTTCATCATATGTGGTTCGGTATGCAATTGAACGGCAATTCAATCAATAACCAACGCCGTGTCCGACATTTAATTACTGGGGTCGATAAACACATGAGTTCTAAAAGCCATGCTCTAGCGACTAGCGCTCTGGTTGCTATTCCCACTCATAGATGGCAGGAGTGGTGTGCGCCAAAAGTTATACTGCACCGCACGACACAATGCGCCTGACGCTATACTGCACTGCACTACAGGACACATTTGCGCGCCTGAAGTTATACGGTGCCACACTTGACACTACACAGTGCGCGCCTGAAGTTATACTGTACCGCACTACATAATGCGCGCCTGAAGTTATACTGTACCGCACGACACAATAAGCGCCTGAAGCTATACTGTACCGCAAGACACAACCATCTTTTCGGCCGCTAGGTGTGACTAGTGATCACAGTAAGAAAATATAAATGTTAACAAAATGAGTACATGTAGTTTATGACTGAAATGCGGACGCCAAATGTAACGAATACGTATCCGTGTCAACGTTGGAACACATCTCCACGGATGAACCCAGGGGACTTTGAACTCTACCTGTCGTCGCAGCCTCCGCCGGCGATAATATCCAGATCCGGCGAGTTTTTGGCGTGGTCGATGTACGACTTGATGCGCTGGAATGCCTTCTCATCAATCACGGCGCCGAAGAAGTTCTCCTTCTTCGTCGGATCACCGATCTTGACGTCCTTGTGAATGTTCAGCATCAGAGTCCGGATCTGAAAGAAACAAAAACATATCAGTATTGACGCTGTTGACGAGCGTGGATACTCATTACCAGAGTCCGGTCTAAAATTTACAATAGCCAGCAGGTAGGTAACGCCTTAATGTTAACGCTAACCTTTTCCACAATCCATATTTAGTGAGATACTATACAATGTGTAAATATCCTCAACGTTTATCAGAAGAGTCTAAAGTAATGACGTCTGAAGATTCACTATTGTCCATCCGGATCCACCACTTTGTATAGGGATGTGCTCCATTTCAGAGGGCCCCTCTCCCATTTGTCACATCTCGACCGGTACAGAGACCAGAGAAGCCACCGCCAGCGGCGGCACCCACCTCGTCCCAGCGACTGCGCGGCACGTAGAGCCGGCTGCAGGCGGAGCACTTCTGGCCGCCGAACTCGAACGCCGAGCGGATGGTACTGGCTGCCACAGTGGCTCCGTCGGCCGTCGGGTGCACAAAGTGGTAGTTCTTGCCGCCGCACTCGCCAATCAGCCGCGGGAAGCCGCGGTAGCGGGCGATGTTGTTACCCACCTGCTTCCACAGGTGCTGGAATGTGCTGCCGGAAGGAATCATGGTTCAGTTGTGTAACAAAACGTGTTGACAGACAGGACATATTTTAAGGCACTAACTGCGTCCCATTCTGGGACGCAGCCCCCTCGCCTTGGGACATAGCCCCTGCTGATTTGACCCACTGCGTCCCTGCCCTGTGCCCTGTCCGGTTCCCTGACCTGTGCCCTGCTGTGTGCCCTAACCTGTACTCTTCCCTCTAAAATGTCCTGTGCCATGCCCTGTAACCTGCCGTGCCCTACTTTCTGCCCTCCTCAGTGCCCTACTCTGTTCCTTGCCCTGTGCCCTTAGTCGTAGCACGTGCCCTCATGCTCAACTTTGGGACGCAGTAAAAAAAAAAATGTTAAAATATGCCCTGTTGACAGATACGTCATAGCCAGTAGCTAAGAAGTGCGTTACGAAATTTAGCACAAACCTATAAATGCTGTGTTAGTTGACAAGCTGACATCGGGAGCTAAGGCAGAGGAACATGAGCGGCTGAGCCCACTAGCTCATGCCACATACAAAACATGTATCCATGACCCATGCAAACTAAATCTCATTTCATGACCGGCCGGCCGCTAAGGACCACACCGCCCTATGTAGCTGCTTGTACTCACGGCACCGATCCGGTGAAGTTGACGACGGACAGCTCCGGAGACGCTGTCACCGTGTCGCCGTACACAGGCCCGTCCGCCGGCACAAAGTTGATGACGCCGGCCGGAATACCGGCCTCGCGCAGGATCCGGTACGCCGTGTAGTTGCTCAGGATGGCCGTGTCGGACGGTTTCCACACCACCACGTTACCCTGGCAACGGGGGCGGTGAATGTAAACAACAGCTGACCAGATGCAGTCGGGAGAGGGGAGGGGAGGGAGGGCCAGGACGGGCTCCGATGGCCCCAGCTGAGGTGAAAAACACTGACAAAACCGACCGGCGGGCATCGCAGAAACGCAGAAGTGTAGCGGCGCAGCGGCGCAAAAAACTGACTGGCTGACTGCCAGATGGCTCCGTGCCAGCCTCTACTAAACGTTTACGGTTCAGCACATAGCCAGAACAGGACACTGGTCAGTTCTTACTTCTTACGCCAACAAACCACATCCAAAGCCTATAAAAAACGGATGAGGTAACGGTCTAAATTTAAAAAGTGCGAGAAGCGCTAACACCCGGTGAGGTCAATAACATCAACACGTATCTCTCCAGCGCCGTACCATGAGTGTCGGCGCCGACGCCAGGTTGCCGCCAATCGCTGTGAAGTTGAACGGCGACACGGCGGCCACGAAGCCCTCCAGGCCGCGCAGACGCATCGAGTTCTTAGTGACCGAGGCGTGCTCGCTGATGGGCTGGTACTTGGTCAGCTCCTTGGCGAAGAAGGCGTTGAAGCGGAGGAAATCCACTAGCTCGGCGGCGGCGTCAATCTCGGCCTGCACCACCGTCTTGGACTGGAAACGGGGAAAACAAAGCATCAATATCGTCCCACTATTCATCAAACACTCGCTATTCAACTGATTGGCAAAACACATGTCGGATATAAAACCAGTATAACGCCTTTTGGGGCGACTAACGGAGCGAGCGAGAGGGTGAGCCTTGCACGTGCGAAATTTCGAGGGGTACCTCCAACTGACTTGTGCACGGCACCCTACTAACCGGTCTCTAGCGATGTGCCAAATTTGAGCACAATCGGCCCAGCCGTTCTCGAGATCTGGAAGCGGCACCCTGCACGTGCGCACGTGCAAAATGGGTCCCAACTGACTTGTGCACGGCACCCTACTAACTGCTCCGTAACCGTGTACCAAATTTGAGCGCAATCGGTCCAGCCGTTCTCGAGATCTGGAAACGACCCCTGCACGTGCGCACGTGCAGCAGCACCCCAACTCTGGCACATGGATATGCATTGCCTAGTGGGTGCCTACCTACATGCTAACTCTCAGCGCAATCGGCCAAGTAGTTACCGAGATATTGTAACAATTACAAAAGTGACACCTCTTCGTTTTGCACGTGGCACGTGCATAAGGGGTCACCCACATGCATCGGGAATAGTCCAATACTTGGTAGAAGGAATGAAGCTACCCTACAAAAATTACCGCTTGTAAATCGGTCAAGTGGTTGCTGAGATATAAGCCTCGCAAAAGCGTGACCACGGCCGGCCGGCCGGCCGGCCGGCCGGCCGCTCATACTCAGAAATTTCCGTTAATCTAAGGAAAGACTACGCTCGCTTCGCTCGCTCCGTAATCAACTATACACCGTTTCAAATCGTTTCCACTATTAATACGACCGTATCGGGGCACAGCTTTGCAACACGATCTTCACTCGATCAGCGACCAGCGTTGTTTCCCAAATCAAAGTTAAACGGTCAATGTAGCAAGGATCAGTAACAATGAAGGCATCGGTGGCGCTACTGTGGGCGTTTGGCGATGACTGACATCATCCCCGTTCCCCTCACCTGGCCGAGCATGGTGGTGGCGTTCAGGTCCTGCCGGTACTTGGTGGCCATCATGTCGGCCGCCCGGTGGAAGATGTCGATCTTCTCCGACAGGGGCACCTTTTCCCACGCCTCACGCGCCGACAGACTGTTGTCGATCGCCTTCTGCACGATCTCCTGTGACAGAACACGATGGAAATGATCAGAAATAAGAAGTTAGCGTCGTGCTTCCGGTCTGTCAAGTGTCAACACAGAAAACGTGCTACCTGCAGCATAAGAAACCGGCATGCATGTCGCATTATCACCACAGAATCTTGACAGACGTCAGAAAACGACATTGATACGATTGCCGCAAAATGTCCCAATGAACCGTTGAGGGTGAGATTTACCCCAGCCCTGCGTTCGACCGTGCCCCCTTCATTCGGTGCGCTGAGACCGCCCCTGGTGCTGACGTCTCCCGTTCGCCGCGGGCGCCAAGCGGCGTCCCGAGTGGAAATTTCCGCCGCCGGCCGACCCCCGCGGCAGTCCGGCTTGGCAGCCGGCGGCTGTTTTAGTCGGTACACTTCCAGATCTCGTAACTACATACTGACGAGGTAGGCATCCGGGCGGCTGTCACACTGGCCATGTGCGATCAGTTTATAAACAAACGATGTCGTGTGTCTCGGATTATGCTTGCACGGGTCACGTGAGGTCAGGTCAAACACGTGACCTACCATTATAAATCAGTGGGGAAAATAAATTTACTGATTATCTGACGCCGGGAATGACTAACCTCATCTCAGGCACGTTCGCCGAGATTCACTCCCGAACCGATCAAATTGTGTAAGCGAAACAGATAAGACACGAGCAGAGCTCAGAATGAGCCAAAACTGTTGATTCAAATGGCATGTGCATGATCCCCTTGATAGCGGTCTGAGTGGCGCTGAATGACCTTAACTTGACCTAAGCTACGCTCAGTACCTATCCGTTTTTTTTTTTTTTAATAGAAGTGTAGCATGTGATGCTTCTTGACATAACAAACACCATGCAATTGACCAAATTCATTGTCGTGCAAGTTTTCTTTACCAAAATTATTTACCGAAACAAAAATCAACTTTTGAGTCGTTGGCCGGAGTCCTTCGAATTAGGTTCAAATCTCTGCGACTCACAGCTACCAGCAAACTAGTTTTTCTCGTGGGACTGTGGCTCAATTAGCAGCGAAGCGGCGATGAAAATCGTAAATCTCCCTCTCCCTCGATACAGGCAAGCGTATGTATGTACAGCACCGATACATGTCGACCTATTGGCGAAAGGTCAAGCTTAGGTTCATACTTGCAGACGAAGGAAAACAAAAGCAAGCATGCACTCACCGGGGTGGCGTGGTAGAACTTGGCCACGGGGTTTTTATGGTCGTGAGGCCGCGGCTGATAGCGCACCAGGTCGGTACGAATCTCCTCATCGCCAATGACAATGGGCACCTCGGCCACGGTGGCGCCGTGCTTCTGTAGGGCCGCCTCGAGCTGCTGCAGCTCTGCGCTGCCCGGCAGGTAGCCTGCGGCAAACAACGGCATGGGTCGGGTCACCTGTGAACTTGTGTCAAAATTACACGTCGAACGGTACCGGTATCTCGATCAGATCATTCGTTTAGACGCAATTCAAATTGCATAGGCTTGATGACCATACGTATTTTTGGTACTTACCGTACCGATTTATTTTACCGATTACCGATTTTTTTTTATTAGATTTCGTTTTGTAGGCTCCAAATATATCTTCCATTGGAGGTCCGTTGGGATTGTCAATCCAGTCTATACGTCCGTGGCTATTTATACACGTGAAGTTCGATAGCACCAGTCTCCTTCGCCCCTCCCCCATTCAGGGAATCACGACCCTCGCCCATCTCAGAATCGGTCAGTCACCGTTTGTCTCATCTGTAGTCCCGCTGCACCTCACATTGGCCATGAGAATTCACCGCTCCAAGTCATGTGACTGCAACTCTCACTCTGATTGGCCGCTGACGGGGGCCGGTCGGGGGCTCGTACAGGGCGATACAGGTCGGTGGTCGTGATACTATGCTGCTGCGCAATTCGTGGTCTCGAAAAAGGTATGAGACAAGGCCAGACGGGGGCTCGGCTCATTGGTAAGCCGCGATGACCTTTACAAACGGTTGCAGCACTATTGTTTTGGTTCGGGGCTCACGATTCACGGATGCATTTATATTGCTTCGGGGAAGCTGGGAACTGTCAACAGACGGAGTACGGACATTTAAACGTAGACGTGACGTTAGTGGTTTCCATTCAGTGTTCTTTATCATCTTTATTTTGGTTGCGATTAAAGGAAATAGTTCACTTTCCTGAAATTAGTATTTTGCTATGGATTTATGTTTTTTATGCTCAAAATTATCAGAAAATAAAACAAAACGTTTTTGTAAAAAGGATTATTTTCTATATTTTAGTATAAGAAGAACTATATTCTATATAAAATAATGTTTGACGCGGAAGCTTATTACGCGTTGACCAATCATATTGCGTAGGACAGCCCCATCGGCTGTAAGCAGCATTCTGATTGGCTGACGCTGACGTGACTGCATTCCTCAGCAAGGCACGCATTCCTCTGCAAGGCACTCTTTTCGGAACGAAAAATGGAATATCTTCGTCTAGGGTGATCGTTGGGCCGTAAAAACTTCTGATTTGTGCTAGTTTCAGCGCAAGCAACAAAACTGCTATTCCAGTTCCAAACCCCATGTTAAAAGTAAACTATTTCCTTTAACCACACACATCAATATAGTTAAAATACAAGACATATGTTATGAGCCAGCAATCAAGCAAGCACATTCTAAGAAAATATTAACCCTCTCCGGCACGTTGATGCATCCCCCCTAAGGTTTTTCGCGAATTGTCAGGTCATTGACCTTTGGTGACCTCGGTTCACTTTTTCGAGTTTTTCATGTTTCTAGGCTAGTTTTTGGAGCTGAATTCGAATTAAGCAACCATTCGAACATTTGCGAAGTAGTTTTGGTGCTTTCGTAACATGTTACGAAGCTGTCAGAGGCGGTTAACACGTACTACGAATACCCGTCACGACCTCTACTGGTTGACTTGACATGACCTGGTCTAAAGGCTTCAAGACATCATCTGTGATCAAAACTAGCACGATATTCGTGATCAGTACCCCGAAAAACCCCCTCGCAGCCACACTTCACGACTTTCTAACAGGTCCCGATTTTCCCGACTTTTGGGTCATTGACCTGACCTCAGACCTGCAAGGTCAATTGATGACCTAGGAGTAGGACCTTAAAATGGCTTCATCTCGTGACGGGTAACACGCTCGTTTTTTTCCGCGAAGCTCTAGCTCGATCAGGGGCCAAACGCGGGAGTGGGGGGGGGGGGGGGGTCGTACCAAAGAGCGACGTGCCGTCGAAGGACGCAAAATGGCCTGTGCCGGCGAGAGTTGACCAACACACCGGCCTACCTAAAACTAGCATCCTGTCTGCTCAAAGGTCTTACCGAGCAGAGGTTCGTTGACCACATTGAAGTCCGGCAGTCCAGAATCCTTCACCACAGAGGTCAGGCACCGAACCTGGGTGCAGCCCCTGGAACGAAATGCAAACATCAGTCGCCAGTCAGTGACATCTGACCCTCGCGCGGTCAATCAATGAAAACTCTTTATACGGTTACGACTGTGACAGTGTTGATGTAAGCCAACGATGCGCCGCGGTGAAATGCGTTTACTCCAGTACCTAGATGTGTGACAAGGCCAGTAGTTCAGTCGAGCCCGCTCGGTCGGAGCCTGGCATGCCTCTCAATATAAACACACGGCGTAGAAAAACGCCAGTGTCAGGTCCCTGTGCTGGCCGGGGGCACCAACAGCTGAAAGTACGGGATGTTTATCTACATGAGGGAGGGTCCACCGAGACAGAGAGGTTCCTGCCCCATGAAAAACGGCACTCGAGCCAGTAATAACCGGATTGCTGAGTGTTCGTGGTAGGGGCACCCGGCACAGCGTGAGCTTTTAACCCACGCCCCATTGGGGCTCTTGGACTTACACGCCCTGCTGGAGGGGGGGGGGGAATGTTTGAACACCTCACTTCGCACTCGGCTCCTGGACCATGTAGCAATACGGGATAGGCGACGTTCGAAAGAGCGTAAAAATGAATGACGAAATTATTTCGGTAACGTTTTTGGTCAGGTCAAAGATCAGGCCACCAGAGGTAATCGAAGATCGAATTTTGCCGATTTTCAGGTCGAATGTCAACAATTTTCAACAAACTGGCGTGTAACTCAGAAACCGATTGAATTACAGCGCCCCGGAAAAGTGCATTTCATAGCCCTACTTACATTCTTTCTGAGTAATTGTCTCGGGTTTGACCAAAGGTCAACGGTTTTGCCTGTAGGATGCAAAAACTGCCAAAGTAGTCGATTTTTGCGGAAAGTTTTTTTTCTGCAATAACTGTTGACTCACACTTTGCACGAGGTTACTTTTACTGGCATCACATTCCCCTCGTCAAGACGCATCGGATAAAGTATAATCTGACCTTGAAAGGTCTACTTGAAAATTTGACCTCAGGTCAAGGTCATGACGTGGCTGGAAAAGGTTATGTTGTATATCAGTCGATCCGTACCTTTCGTCAAGTTGAACACATCTAAGGCGTTTTCAATGCTCTAGCTTGGCTCTATCAAAGTGATTCGCGAAAAAAACTGTTCGTGATATAAACTGTTCGTGATAAGATACCGTTCGTGATCTAAGATGACCTCAGGGGCATAAACAGGGGTCACGGAGGCCATTTTCCAGTTCATTGTGTCATGTTTGCTTATAATTCTTTTTTCGAAATTTACCCTATTGAGATGTCGCAAAATTGACCTGACCTTGGGTCACCGTTATCGAAATTCCGGACATGCATTTTGTACATACTGTTACTCTTATAAATCGCTGAAGTTTCAAAGCGATCGGTTATTCGGTGTGTAACTATGGCGGGCATGTAAGTTCAGGTGACCTGACCTTGAGTGGACTTGAACTGAAATTGTCACAACGTATGGAAAAAAGATTTAGGTATGATTTTAAGTGTACCAAAAACGAGTTTTTGAGATTATCGCGAAAATCCTTAAGGGGGGGGGGGCAAACACCACCTCCCCCAGCAGGGCACGGATTAAAATACATTTCAGCTGTGGCAGGAAAGATCGTCCACGACGCATGTCGTTGCTTGTGATCAGCTCGACTATGCTGAAAAAAGCAAAACAAAACCAGCAATGCCGTACGTCGTACGGTTTGCTCATTCATGAATAATAAACATCTGTATATGCATAGAACTGTGTAGACCCCGGAATACAAAGGTCCATGGACCTCGGAATACAGAGGTCAAAGTCCCCTGAATACAGAGGTCCGTAGACCTCGGAATACCTACAGAGGTCTGTGGATCAGCTTAACTAAAAACCATAGCGATGACGTCGGGAGAGATCCTTTGGACGCACACGAAAAATCAATAGTGTTATGTGAAGTCATGGTAATATCGATCTAGCCATGGAAATATCGATTACGATCGAGATACCACGTAACGAGTGTGCGGCGCAGTACGTCGGTATGTACCCCTGTAGGTCCTGTAGAGGACAAGAAATGGGCTGCCTCACTCACCTCAGGCCGACAACCCGTCGCGCAATCACTGACGCCGCCTGCATGGTGTCGCCGGTTCCGACGGGCCCCGCTCACCGCTGGCACTCTGCCCGCCGTCGATCGATGCTCTCCTGAGTCAGACTCTGCTGCCCAACGCAGCCGGTCCCCGCCAGCCGCCGCTGTGGTCGGTCAGTAGTGGGACAGTGCCGCGTCTGCTGCGTACAGTCCTCCGCTCACACCAGACACCGCCGGCCCGCGCCAGATGTAGGCTGGGGTCGGGTCGCGGCGGATGGACCTACACCCGTGCAGACTGAGCCGCGAGTGACGCCGGCGCGACGCCGCTGGCTGGAGGGGAGTGGGGCGCGCCGCCGACCAGAGAGGGGAGGGGCGCATCGTCGGTGCACCCGCGGTCGGCAACGGCAGACGGCTGCGCGCGCAGGCCACGCCATGGCTGGGCCGAGCCGACGACGAGCACGTGCTGGAGCTGCCGGGATCGGACTCAGCGCGGCCCAAACAGCTGGCATTGAGCGGAACATGACACCCCTGCTCAGTGCTCAGGTCATTAGCGGAGGTATCGCTCGTTTGTTGGATTACGACCTTTCGATCTGACAAGACCATTGGCGGCTGGCGCGTGGAGCCACATGACGCTGGTAGGCACAGAAGAACACATTGTAACTGAGGGACGGTGATGATGAAGTCCGGGTCACTCAGGTTGGTACCTACTGACGTCGCCTTCGTATTGAAGAGTGTGACTAGAAAACTGCAGGAGGATATAAAAGATGGATTTATGACATTGTCTACATGTGCTTCATGTCTACAACTGATCACTAATAAATGCCCGAAGACGTATGAGGCAGGAGAACAGTGCAGTAACAAATCGCACGATGTTTTATTTAATTAGTCCTGGCAAAAGACGATCATAGTTTTACAACCATGTCCGTACTGGCTGGACTCTTGTGTACCTGTTATGCAGCAAAGCCACGTAGTTTTATAATCATTTCCGCACTCTGGACTCTGTGTACCTGTTATGCAGGTATACTTTCCGACTTCAAGGTCAGCGTCCGCCATCAGCCAGCATCCGGCATTCATCGTTCGGTTTTAAATAAGCAAACGGTCTTCATTCCCGATTCTTATTATCACGGGCCACGGCGTTCCGGCGTCGCGGAAACGGTGTAGGTATTATTAGGATGACCGCAAGATGCTGTGCCGCACGGCTCAATACGTCCTAATATGGCCAACATATGTCGGTCAATGAAACGCCTGAATGATACTGTGCCGCATGGCTCAATGCTTCCTAATCTGGCCAATAGGTGTCGTTCAGTGAAACGTCTGACTGATGCTGTGCCGCATAGCTCAATACTGCCTAATCTGGCCAATAGATGTCGTTCAGTGAAACGTCTGACTGATGCTGTGCCGCATGGCTCAATATTTCCTAATCTGGCCGATAGATGTCGTTCAGTGAAACGCCTGAATGATACTGTGCCGCACTACAATACTGACTGCCGGCCATCGCACAGTGGGCGTTTCAGGGGTTCTAGCCTCTCACAACCTTTCAACCCTTATAGCCTTGGATCTAGGAGACCTACGCCTACGAATTACACACCAAACTGTAGCAAATTCATTAAAGAACGTGAATGCATGACGTTTCCCATGTTATAAGCTTTCGCAATGTGCAGAAACTACATGAAATGTTGCATAAACGTGGCAAAACGGAGCACTTCCATTCCCCCTTGCGGTTTGGCCCCTGATGGAGCTAGAGCTTCGCGGAAAAAAACGAGCTTGCTGCCCGTGATGAGACAAAGCCGATGATACCCAATTTTAAGGTCCTAGGTCATTGGTTGACCTTCCAGGTCAGGTCAATTACCCAAAAGTCGGGAAAATCGGAACCTGTTAAAACATCGTAAAGTGAGGTTGCTTTAGGGCTTTTCGGGGTGCTGATCACGAATTTCATGCTAGTTTTGATCACAGATGATTTCTTCATGCATTTAGGCCAGGTCGGGTCAGGTCAGGTCAGGTCAACCAGTATGCGCCCTGCCGGGTATTCATAGTAGGTGTCAACCGCTACTGACAGCCTCGTAACATGATAAGAAGGCACTAAAACTACTTCCTAAATGCTCAAATGGTCGCTAAATTCGAAATCAGCTCCAAAAACTAGCCTAGAAACATGTAAAACTCGAAAAAGTGAACCGAGGTCACCAAAGGTCAATGACCTGACCTGACCTTCAGGTGACCTTGACACCCAGCATAATGCATGGAACCAACATCATTTCACATGGTTGAACGTTTGAAACCACAAAAAGACTGCAACCGCGCGGATAATGTGAGCCGACACGCCGAATCGCGATTCCGGCCAAACATGGTCTCGGGAAATAGGTCACAGGTCAAAGGTGATTTGGGTCAGGGTCATGAAATTTTCAGTGTGGGTGTAAAATTGATTAACCCGAATGTACTGAAAGTTTCGTCTCGATCGGCCACTTTTTACGCGAGTTATCCGCGAAAAAACGAGGGTGGTCCGTTCGACCCCCTATAAGTCCGAGGGTTAAGGGTTTGACTTGAGTCGTTGACCTCGAGTCAAAGTCTGGTAAGAGTCCCTCAGGTCACGAACTTGGTCAAAGGAGGTCGACTGTCTAACTTACTTTGTTCCGGAGGTATTGACGGAAAACTAATATGGCCCTTGTGACGTCATAAATGACGTCATGCAAGGTTAGCAATGCAAAGGTGTAGCACCGTACCTTGCAGGGAGCGCATGAAACCATGATTCCATGTGCTTGAGATAGTTTTAGATCATTTCTGACGCTAAAATAACAGTTTCCATATTTCCCTCATTGACTTATAACGGTGAGATCACGTGACCGACCTGACCGCATGTGAACTTTAGCAAAAAATCCGAGATATACAAGTTGTGAGACCTCGGAGTATGCTACGTCCTGTAAGTTTCATCTTCCTGTGAAAGTTCCTCTGGCACTGAGGGCGCTGTGAAGCTGCGGCATCTTAGGACCGTGCAGAGGTTCACTTATGACGTCATAGGTCAGCGACCTGACCTGACGTGACCTGAAAATGCGGTTGATTTAACCAGATCCGGCTTGAATCAAAGGTCAAGTATGCCAAGTTTCAGCTCTTTATCGGCGGCGTGTTGTGAGCTATCGCGTTAAAACCTATAAGGGGGCAACACCCCCCCTCGGCCTCGGGGGGTGGCGTGACTTATGCAGAATTTCCCATTAACTCATGTGCAATGCTTCTCATTTTTTTAGGAAACAAAATGTGTTTGAGGTTTCGCGAGACCAGACCGGCCGGATCGCCCACTGTGCATCGCCTGAGGCCTTTCCGGTCACGTGACAGCTCATCCTCCGGTCAATTAGAATACTTCTGACCCACGAGATAACACTGGCTGGTGTTACTGTCATCACTTGAAATAATTTAAGCTAAAATGCAGGCTGATTTGTTCGCTCCCGTCACTGTGGAGCTAATAAAGGCTAGACAGCGTATTGCAAAATGTTGCATAGCAGCAAATGGCGCAAGTTTGCGCACTTTTTCATTGCTTGGCCGGTTCAATAACATCACAATGCACATTGTGACACACGATTTAGAGCGGGACCTGGGGGAACTCAAAAGATCGGCTTTAACATAGTGAGTGATATTCATTTTAAGCATACAAAATAACTCGATGACATGTTTATCTCTCATGCTGCTAAATGATTTTCGCAACCTCATTTTTCGTTGCGCGGAATTGGTCGTAACATGTCACAGAACAACTCATAAAACCATTTACGTGTAAAACTCACGCACATAGGATCCCCATGGCATCTACTTTGACTCTTCAAACACCCGTAAACTATGACTTGTCTACGGCCTAAGAAATCTTTGTGTTTGAAGCCCCTTTCACCCTATACCAAGTTGTTGCATGACCAGATAATGGTCATTTATGTAATGTATGGACATTTTGTAGTCGATTGGTATGCTTTTTGTTTTCATAAAAGCAAAATAATTTTTTTGCCCCGTAAGAGGCTAGACCGGCCCGAACGCCTACCGTGCATCGCTCCCGCGCGGCGCCGTGAAGCACGGTATCCAGCTGGTCCATCGCCGGGGCACAGTCGGCGCAACAGCGGGGGAGCCCCCCCCCCCTCTCCCGCGTAACTGTAGTGTATATAACCGATCCTACGAGTACTGATAACGTATAGCTTTGAGCTAGCCGGGGGTGGTGCAGGAACATGTCCCAATCGATAGTTGTTTATTTTGAATGCTACGCTAACGGACGTTGCATGGAAAGAATCGACTCCTAACGGTCATTCTCGCAGGGACCGCGGATTCCGGGGGGCAGGGTGTGCAATTGCACACCCTGAAAATCCTGAGGGTATGCAAACACCTATTTTTGCACACCCACAGTTCGTTGTGGGGGCCCATGCGGCCCTGGCGCTTGAGTGTCCCAAGCCGATTCTCGAGGGCCCCAGCGCGAGCCTGATGGTCCCGCACCGGTGCCTGAAGGCGTGAACAGGCTCTAGTGTTATCTCAGGGGTTATCTCAGAACCCCACCCACGCCATTTTTTAGTGCTCCCACCGGCTCTTGAGGGCCTAGGCCGATGCCCGAGGGCCCCAAGTCGATGTCTAAAGGTCCCACGCCGGTGTCTGAGTACCTACATGGCTAGCTCAGGGATCCACGCCAGTTTCTGAGGGCCCTAACCGGCTCTTGAGGGCCCCTGCCCCCTGCCCTCCTTAACCTCCTCTTGGGGCCGATGCCTAAGGGTCCCGCATCAGCACCTGAAAGCCCCCACAGTTATCTCAGGGCCCCACCCCAGTTTCTGAAGGCCCTCACCGGCTCTTGAGGGGCCCTAGACCGATATCCAAGGACCTCTGGCCAATGCCCGGGGCGCAGGCCGATGCCCGAGGGCTCCAAGCCGTTACCCGAGGGCCTTACACAGCTATCTCAGGGTATAATGCCACTTTCCGAGGGCCCTAACGGGCTCTTGAAGGCCCCAGGCCGATTCCTGAGATACCCAGGCTGATGTGAGAGGGCCGACCGACTGAGGCGGCCCCTACGTCAGTTTCTAAGGGCGTCCACGACCGCCGTCTGGTCAAAGCTGATCTCTGAGGGCCCTACGCAGGTTTTTAATTGCACTCAGCTCTTGTTTAGGATCTCACACCGGCCTCTGAGATCGGATGGCTTATGCATGCCGCAGAGGAGCCCTTACCGGTTCCTGAGGGCTCCGTGCTGATAGTCGAGGGCCCTATGCCAATACTCGAGAGTCCCATTCAGTAATCTCAGCGCCCTACACCAGTTTGAGGAACGCCGTTCGGCCAAGGCTGACCTCCGAGGAAAAGCCCTTTGCAAGCTTCGGAGTGCCCTCACTTTCTTTTTTAGGATCTCACACCAACCTCTGAAGTCGCAGGGCTAAAGGATGCTTCTGATAGCCCTCACTAGCTCGGACCCAAAT